CAGAGACCTCCCCCACCTTGCGGTGGACGGGGAAGGTTGGCGATGCGTCTACGTTTCGGGTCTGGGGATCTCGGGCGTTTGTCCGCGACTTGTCTGCGGACAAGCTGTCCCGCCGTGCTGTTCCCTGCATCTTCCTTGGCTTCCCCCCTGACGCGCCTGGGTGGCAGTTTTACCACCCCACCTCGCGCCGTGTTCTGTCCTCCCAGGACGTCACCTTTGACGAGTCGGTGCCTTACTACCGTCTCTTCCCCTACCGCACTGCGCCCCTCCCCCCGCCGCCGCTCTTCCTTGCGCCAGGTCCCCCCCCGGTAGACCCCCTCCCCCCTCAGGGTCCTACCCCGTCAGGTGTTTCCCAGGTAGACGCAGTCGAGCCTGTCGAGGTAGCTTTTGACTCTGGTGCTGCTAGAGGTGCTGAGCCTGCGGGTGCCGGGTCTGGAGGTGCTGAGCCTGGGGGTGCGGAGCCTGGGGGTGCTGAGTCTAGGGGTGCTGAGCCTGGGGGTGCTGAGTCTAGGGGAGCTGAGCCTGGGGTTGCTGAGTCTGGGGGTGCTGAGCCTGGGGGCGCTGAGCCTGGGGGTGCGGAGCCTGGGGGTGCTGGGTCTGCTCGTGTGGCCTCTCGCGGTGCTTCGTCGAGGCGGGAGCTACTCTCTCCGCAGGAGCTGCGCGAGTGGTTTGCCCGGCGCTGGAGCCGTGCTGCTGGAGCTTGAGGTACTACTGTTGCTGCTGGTCCCGGAGGTGCTCGTACTAGCGGTACTGGAGCTGCTGGGGCTGGGGGTGCTGCTGGAGTTAGTCTTGCTCGAGGTACTGCTGGAGCTGCTGGAGGTACTCGAGTTGCCGGTCCTGCTGGAGTTGGTGCTGCTAGAGCTTCTGGAGCTGGAACTGCTGGGGGTGTTGGCGCTGGTGACTCTGCTGGCGCTAGTGCGTCTGAGGGTGCTAGAGTTGGCGCTGTTGGACCTGGAGGTGCTGCTGGCGCTGGTGCTGCCGCTAGGGGTACTGGTGCTGTCCCTGCTGGTTCTGGAGGTGCTGCGCGGCCGAGGCCGTACTTCGTTCCACTCGTTGAGCAGGTTCTTGGTCTCCTGCCCTCTACTGGTCCTGCTCCTCTCTTAGAGTGTCCACAGCCTGTCCAGTCGCGGTCACAGTTACAGCCCGCCTCCCCCCTACCTGCTCCTTCTCCCTACACTGGTCCTACTGGAGGTCTTGCTGAGCGTCGTGAGCCTGCATCTCGTCCTGCGTCGCCTGTTTGTGCTGCTCGAACTAGTGGTCGTGCTCCGCGCCCGCATCCTCCTGCGGTCCCAGGCACACACCAGATGGCACTGCGTCCTTCCACTGCTCCTCTGCGTGTCCCGTTGCCGTCTCCTCCAGAGTCCTCTCTTCTTGTTCTTCCCGAACCCTGAGGCGATCGAGGGTCCCTAATCCTCTCAATGGCAGTCAGCCATGGACACAGAGATGGCTTCCTGGAAGTCCATAGGCACCTACGTCGACGAGGTTCCCCCACCTGGGGCGAACATTGTCAGTGGCATGTGGATTTTCAGGGTGAAGCGGCCGCCGGGTTCTCCGCCTGTCTTCAAGGCGCGTTACGTGGCTCGAGGCTTCAGTCAGCGGTAGGGACTTGAATACTTTCAGACCTTCTCTCCCACTCCGAAGATGACCACTCTTCGGGTGCTGTTGCACATAGCCGCTCAGCGCGACTACAAGCTCCATTCTCTTGACTTCAGCACAGCTTTCGTGCAGGGCAGCCTGCACGAGGAGATCTGGTTGCGCCGCCCACCTGGCTTCATTGGGTCGTTTCCTCGTGGTACCCAGTGGAGCCTCCGGCGGCCAGTCTACGGTCTCCGCCAGGCGCCCCGTGAGTGGCACGACACACTGAGGACTACACTTGCGGCTCTTGGGTTTGCTCCTTCTACAGCCGACCTGTCGTTGTTTCTGCGCACCGACACCTCTTTGCCGCCGTTCTACATCCTCGTGTACGTCGACGACTTGGTCTTTGCCACTGCTGAAACTGCTGGACTCGCCCACGTGAAGTCCGAGCTGCAGAAGAAACACACATGCACAGACCTGGGTGAACTGCGCAGCTACCTTGGTTTGCAGATCCCCCGGGACAGAGCACGCCGCACCATTACCCTGACTCAGTCACACATGGTGCAGCAGGTCCTTCAGCGCTTCGACTTCACGTACTCCTCGCCTCATGCCACTCCTCTGTCTACTCGCCACTCGCTCTCAGCTGTGCCTTCGGATGAGTCCGTAGAGCCGAGTGGCCCGTACCCAGAGCTTGTTGGCTGCCTCATGTACCTGATGACCTGCACACGACCTGACCTAGCATACCCTCTTAGCATCTTGGCACGCTATGTTGCTCCTGGGAGACACCGACCAGAGCACATGGCTGCAGCGAAGAGGGTGTTGCGCTACTTGTGCAGTACGTCGGGCATGGGGCTAGTGCTTGGAGGGCGACGTAGAGTGGTCCTCACAGGTCACGCAGACGCTTTTTGGGCTGACGACCAGGCTACGCAGCAGTCGTCACAGGGTTACACCTTCAGCCTTGGTTCCGGCTCTGTTTCGTGGCGGTCTACCCACTCGTCTTCTGTTCTTGACTCCAGTTGTGAGGCTGAGATCTACGCGGGGGCCATGGCTGCACAGGAGCTACGCTGGCTCACCTACTTGCTGACTGACCTAGGAGACCAGCCTCGTTCTCCTCCAGTTCTGTACGTTGACAACAAGGCCATGCTGGCCTTGTGTCGGGAGCACAGACTGGAGCACAGAACGAAGCACATTGCTCTTCGCTACTTCCTTGCTCGTGAGCTGCAGCAGCGTGGTCAGCTGCGCCTTGCGTACGTGGCCTCTGAGGCCAACACTGCTGATATCTTTACCAAGGCACTTCCGCCTTGTGATCATCAGCGCTTCTGTACGATGCTAGGTCTTGTGCCTACTTGGCCACACTTGCTCACTTCTTGACCTTGCTTGTACTGTGATCTTTCTATACCTGCACTTGCTTGTTTACCTTTATATATGATCTTGCATGTGAACTGGCCTTCTGGCCTTGAACTTGTGCTCGGACTGTGTGGTGACGTTGTGATCCACCCTGAGCTTGCTTTGCTTTGCTTGACTGGTCTTGTGACCTTTTGTTCTCCCCCACTTTGCCTATGGGGGTGTGTCAACTCGTATGCTATAGTCTGTGTAGGCTGTAGTGGGGTAGACAATATGGGGTACAACACTTTTAGGTTTTCCTACTTGTACTCACCTGCTTGCTAGTTTATCTCATTCCTCATTTCTTCACATTACAATCCCAAGGGGAACTTAGCGAAGGATCGCTCAGGGTTGATCGCAGAGTAGTGTTGCAGCGGAAGTTTGAATTTCAGGTCAGAGTGAATGTAAATGACTGAGTTGATAAAAGCATGAATACATCGAGTTTATATAAGCGTATAGGGGAATGCGAAAGGACCTAGACTAGCCATGTACTCTAAGGGGTACATTCCCTTATTGCAGCGAGAAATTCAAACCGTGCGGCGCGGGAACCCGTTTCAAACCTGTTCCCGCGCTTTTCACTTCAAGTGTGTCTGCCTGCATCGGTCTTGGTCAGACGGTTGCTGTGTCGTTTCGATTCTTCTGACTCTTCGACTTCGTACTCGGTAGAGTCGGCTCCTGCCGCATACAGGAATGCCTTCTCACAAAACTTCATATTGTAACAATTTTCTACTATGCAGCCCCGTTCCTGCAGGAAAGCTCATATGGTTTCAAGAGACAACGGTTACAGAAGAATGCCCAATTTGTGAAACTTATTGTAGCCATTCTCCGAATTCCCATCCACTCTTCTAAAACCCAATACGACTATCCCTGGCAACTTAGCATTCAAACTAACCCTTGCGATCCATCCATCCATCCACCTAAATGTGTGTGTCTAGCAGAGCTTTTGCGGTTACTGATCGGCCAAATGCCATCGTCTCAACAATCATCAGTCACAAATCGGTGTGGATTCGGTTTGAATGGTCACGATTGGTGTGCTCATGACTTGGAGTAGTCTCTTGCACCAAATATTGTGGATCCCACCCGCACGTTTGTGCTGCCCATTTCCACCTGCCAGCCACAAGGCACATGGGTGAGAAACAGTTGGGAGCACGACTTGATATACGAGGTGACTTATGAGCCGACTCAAAAGTCATTTGCACCTGCCAGCCACAAGGCACATGGGTGAGAAACAGTTGGGTGCACGACTTGATATACGCACTCGCACGCTGCTGCTGCTGCCCATTCCGACTTGCAAGGCACGTGGGGACACATGAGCAGCGTGGCATGAGTTATGAACTGGAATGAGATGTTATGGCATGGAATGGCATGGCATGGCATGGCATTGCATGAAATGGAATGAAAGTTATGGCATGGCATGGCATGGAATGAAAGTTATGGCATGGCATGGCATGGCATGGCATGGCATGGAATGAAAGTTATGGCATGGGAACACTGTTATGGTGGCTCCACTCGCACATTGGTGCTGCTACCCATCTCCACCTGCAGGCTATTATGAGCATTGATGGTTTCCAGGTAAACCACAAAGGAGTGGCAACAAGACAAATGAGGCTTGGTAAGGGGACAAGCGAAAAGAGTGGCAACAAGGTAAAACAGTGGCAACAACAAGCATGGCAAAAGGCCGACATACAAGGATCCAATGGTCAATGCACCAGCACGTGTCGCTTGGTCAAAGACCTTCCACTCCACATGCCCATGAATTGCACTCAACTCACTCATGCTACAACTCAAGCCACCACCAGCACTCTCCCAAATACAACTGCACATGAAAGACTCACCGCCTGCTCGAAGTTGTCGGACATGTCCATGGATAGCTCCAACGCGCCTGGACTGACACACATGAGCGGCTTACGTCCGCATGTTCTAGGTTGCAGAGAGACTGTCAACCTCAACTCGAACTTCAACTCACAGCCTGCTCAAAGTTGTTTGACATGCCCATGGATAGCTCCAACTCGAGTCACTAGTATTGATAGGTCCTTGTTCATTTACAACCTCAATGCATCACTCAGCACCTGCTCAAACCTCAATGCATCACTCAGCACCTGCTCAAACCTCAATGCACCGGCACTCACCACCTGCTCAAAGTCGTTGGACATTCCCAACTCGCCTGGGGTGACACACATGAGCGGCCTACATTCGCAAGTTCCAGGCTTGGATCGAGACTGCCCATGTGCCATTACAACCTCAAAGGAGCAACTCACCGCCTGCTCAAAGTCGTTGGACATTCCCATGGATAGCTCCAACTCGCCTGGGGCGAGACCTAGCTGCTCACACACCTCCGTTCGACACCTGGCAAGCGCCTATTGGTGGATGGGAAGGGTATAAAATGCAGTGGACGGATGGGGAAGAGGTGGAATGCAGGGTTGCGAATCAGAGGAAATCAAGAGGAAGCTACAGCATGGTATGAAATGAGGCTGGGATGAATGATTTGAAAGGAAATGATGACTTGTTAGTTTTGAGATGTCTTGAGATGAGATGAAGATACTTGAAGAAACGAAGTTGGGAGAGCCTAGGAAAAAAAGCTGGAGCATGAAACGAGGACAAAAAGTTAAGAAATTTTGGGGGTTGTAAAACGAGGGTGAGAAGAATGGAAGTACCATGAGCAAGACAAACAGCGCGCACTGAGAAGAGAGAAACAGAGAGCAAGGCAAGTGTCAAAGAGAGAGAAACAGTGAGCAGTGAGAAGGAGAAGGGATTGAAGAGGCAAGAGAGGGATGAGAGCTTGAACCTCAAAGTTCTCCGGGCGGGAGGAGTAGTCAGGCATGCCAATGGTCATGAGCCCTGCGAAGGCGAGGTTGGGACACTCAGCTGTGACGTGCCGCACAAGGTCGACACACGCTGATGGATGCACTCCGTGCTTGCCTGGTGGGAGTGTGGTAGGTGGGAAGAGGGTAAAGAGAGAAGTGGAGTAGTCAGGCATGCCAATGGTCGTGAGCCCTGAGAAGGCGAGGTTGGGGCACTCCGCTGTGACATGCCGCACCAGATCCACACAGGCCGATCGATGCACTCCGTGCTTGCCTGGTGGAGGGATAGTGACAGACAGTGTAAAGGCAGAGAATCGCCAAGGAAAAGGGAGAATCGAGAAAGAGGCGGGGCCTCGGAGCACCTCAAGAGGCGGGGCCTCGGAGCACATCATGTTTTGAGACGTCTCAAAACACACACAAGGGAAGCACATCATGTTTTGAGACGTCTCAAAACACACACAAGGGAAGCACATCATGTTTTGAGACGTCTCAAAACACACACAAGGGAAGCACATCATGTTTTGAGACGTCTCAAAACACACACAAGGGAAGCACATCATGTTTTGAGACGTCTCAAAACACACACAAGGGAAGCACATCATGTTTTGAGACGTCTCAAAACACACACAAGGGAAGCACATCATGTTTTGAGACGTCTCAAAACACACACAAGGGAAGCACATCATGTTTTGAGACGTCTCAAAACACACACAAGGGAAGCACATCATGTTTTGAGACGTCTCAAAACACACACAAGGGAAGCACATCATGTTTTGAGACGTCTCAAAACACACACAAGGGAAGCACATCATGTTTTGAGACGTCTCAAAACACACACAAGGGAAGCACATCATGTCTTGAGACGTCTCAAAACACACACAAGGGAAGCACATCATGTTTTGAGACGTCTCAAAACACACACAAGGGAAGCACATCATGTTTTGAGACGTCTCAAAACACACACAAGGGAAGCACATCATGTTTTGAGACGTCTCAAAACACACACAAGGGAAGCACATCATGTTTTGAGACGTCTCAAAACACACACAAGGGAAGCACATCATGTTTTGAGACGTCTCAAAACACACACAAGGGAAGCACATCATGTTTTGAGACGTCTCAAAACACACACAAGGGAAGCACATCATGTTTTGAGACGTCTCAAAACACACACAAGGGAAGCACATCATGTTTTGAGACGTCTCAAAACACACACAAGGGAAGCACATCATTCCCCTGATACTGCCCCCAAGCAAGGACTCTTGCCCTTCCCCCCCTGCCTGCCCCCCTTGCTCCACTCACTCTCCTCCCCGCTCGTGTTGACCTGCACCAGCACACGCATGGGAAACACATAGACCCACATGCTTCCCCCCCGCTACTCTCTCTACCCCCCACTACTCACTCTCCTCGCCGCTCGTGTTGACCTGCACCAGCACACGCATGGGAAACACATAGACCCACATGCTTCCCCCCCGCTACTCTCTCTACCCCCCACTACTCACTCTCCTCGCCGCTTGTGTTGACCTGCACCAGCACACGCAAGGGCGGCCTCCCTGCTGCTGCCACGGCCTTGTTGAGATAATTGGCGATCTGAAGGGGAGAGGAGGGTGGCGAGAGGGAGAGGGGGGAGGAGAGGAGTAGCAGGGGTTTGGGTTGAACTGTTGTTCTGCAGGAGAAGTAGAAAACACACCTCCTAGGCAGGCGATGAGGTCGTTTTTGAGGCGCCTCAAAAACGACCTGTTGTTCTGCAGGAGAAGTAGATAACACGGCAGGCGCAGGGCAGTCGCCTCCTAGGCAGGAGATGAGATCGCCTCCTAGGCAGGCGATGAGATCGCCTCCTAGGGAGGCGACCGCCGTGCTGCTGCCACGGCCTTGTTCAGATAGTTGGCGATCTGAGGGGGAGTGGACGGTGCGGAGAGTAGGAAGGGAGAGGCGGACGAGATATGCGGGAGATTCGATCATGAATCAACATGAGGCAAAAGGGGACAACAGGAGCTGCCCCCTTGCTGCTGGTGCCACAGGGTGACTTTTGAGTCGACTCAAAAGTCATAACAGGGTGCTGCTGCCACCCACCCACGGCCTTGTTGCGATAGTTGCCGGTCTGAAAAGAGCGGGGGAGCAGGCTTTAGTTGAAGTGACATTGAACACACACGCACCCATTCTCACCCCCTCCTTCCCATCCGGCCAACCACCCACGCAAGCATGCATACACACCTCCCCCCCCCCCCCCCCGCACGCACATACCCGGCTGCTATCGACTGTCTCAACCATGTAGAGATTCGGCACTCCTGCTGGCGGCAGCATGCATGCATGCACACAGATACGCGCATACTGCCTGCCCCACCCTCTCCCCCCCTCCCTCAATGCACGTACTCGGCTGCTGTCGACTGTCTCCACCGTGTAGAGGTTCAGCACTCCTGCTGGCGGTGGTAACCTTGCGCACATGGTGACTTTTGAGTCGACCCAAAAGTCACCTCGGTGGCAACCTTGCGCACATGCACACATACACTCTCCCCTCCCTCCCCCCCCACACCACACACACACCCACATACACGTACCCGGCTGCTGTCGACTGTCTCCACAATGTGGAGGTTCGGCACTCCTGCTGCTTATTTACATGTGCATGCACGCATTTACAGTCACACACAGACATGTAGGCACACCCACGTGCACCCACACACCCACGTGCACCCACACACCCACACGTACCCGGCTGCTATCAACTGTCTCCACCATGTGGAGATTCGGCACTCCTGCTGGCGGCGGCAGCATGCATGCGGTGATGCGGGATTTAATGTGCGAGCAGAGGGGCGGGCAGAGGGGCGGGCAGAGGGGCGGGCAGAGGGGCGGGCAAAGGGGCAGGCAGAGAAGCAAGCGCAGAAGCGGGGCGGCAGCATTAGAGCGGGAGGGTGCAAAAGGTGTGGATGAGAGGAAGAGTGGGAGAGGGTGTTTAAAGGTACAGCAGAGTCGGCAATCTATGCAAGACAACAATTACACCGGATATGTGACGAGGCGCGACGAGCATAGCTATACATGACATGGTTAGTCATGACATGGTCAGTCATGACATGGTCAGTCATGACATGGTTAGTCATGACATGGTTAGTCATGACATGGTCAGTCATGACATGGTTAGTCATGACATGGTCAGTCATGACATGGTTAGTCATGACATGGTCAGTCATGATATGGTCAGTCATGACATGGTTAGTCATGACATGGTTAGTCATGACATGGTTAGTCATGACATGGTTAGTCATGACATGGTCAGTCATGACATGGTCAGTCATGATATGGTCAGTCATGACATGGTCAGTCATGACATGGTTACAGTGTGACTGTGCAACTGTGTGACTGCGTGACTGCGTGACTGTGTGACTGTGTGACTGTGTGACTGCGTGACTGTGTGACTGCGTGACTGTGTGACTGTGTGACTGCGTGACTGTGTGACTGCGTGACTGTGTGACTGTGCGACTCATAGACAGTCGAGTGTGAGTGCAACAACTCACACACGAGACTCTTGGCCTTGTTGCTCTGAAGGTGCCCGATGAAATGCCACTTGGTGTCTGATGGGAGCTGTTGAACACACACACATGCACACAGGCAGGCCGGCAGGAGAGAATACCACCCAACCTCCCAAGCTATGTTGGTTATACTTTTGAGAATTCTCAACAGATGATATGCCTTTGGTGTCTGACGGGAGCTGTTGAACATACACACATGGACACACACAGGCAGGCAAGAATGAATTCCATCCAACCCCCCAATCTATGTTGGTTTTACTTTTGAGAATTTTCACAAGATGAAATGCCACTTGGAGCCTGCTGGAAGCTGTTAAACACACAACTCTAGACGCCCACACGAAGGTGAGTCCGCTAAGAACCATCTCACACGCACCTCAGGCTCAGCTGAGGGCCACCTGAAACCCACCTGAGATTCACCTGAGGCCAGATTTCGGCCCAGCAGAGGGCCACCTGTGACCCAATTAAGGCCCATCTGGTGCCCACCTGAGGCCCATCTGACGGGCCTTCTCAATGATCTCCTGCACGTAGTTCTCCCCAAAGTGCCTCAAAAGCCACCTGAGGCTTACCTGAGGCCCACCTGAGGCCCACCTGAGGCCCGCCTGAGGCCCACCTGAGGCGCCTTGTCAATTATCTCCTGCACGTAGTTCTCCCCAAAGTGCCTCTGCCCCGCGTCGTACACCTCCCGAAGCAGCGACACAGGCTTGGTCTTGCTCACTGCCACCACCCGAACCTGAGGGCCGGCCGGACGCAGGGAGCACAATGAGTCACTTTTGCCTGGCCAAAGAGACTGGTGGCAGTGAAATGAGATTAGCCAGGTTGACTGCGGTTCAGATCAGAATCAGCCCAACACATCCGCCCAGCATTTCACACCATCCCATCAATCACACCATCCCATAATCACACCATCCACAATCACCCCTACCCTACCATCACATCACACCACCCCATCCACACCCGCCCTGCGTTCCTGTCGGCACGTTCTGCTGCTTGCCTGCCTGCGCCACTCGCTGCAGCACCTGCATGCATGGGCTGCTGCTGTTGCCTCTGCACATGGATTGCCGAATAACCCCTTCCGTTCCACATGCTATCACCCCAGACGCTATCTCACCACCCACTATCACCCCACACGCTATCACACCACCCACTATCACACCACCCACTATCACACCACCCACTATCACACCACCCACTATCACACCGCCCACTAACTCACCTGCCCGGCGTTCCTGCCAGCCCGTTCTGCTGCCTGCGCCACTCGCTGCAGCACCTGCACGGCAGGGCGGCTGCTGTTGCCTCTGCACATGCATACAACCCCTTCCAACCCACCCACAATCACACCACTCACAATCACACCACTCACAATCACACCACTCACAGTCATACCACTCACAATCACACCACGCGCAATCACACCTGCCCAGCGTTCCTGCCAGCCCGTTCTGCTGCCTGCGCCACTCGCTGCAGCACGGCCCGTAGCGCTGCTGCCGCCGCGCTCTCGACCGCCCCGGCGGCCCCCGCCATGATGGTGCGCAGTCGCTGCACTCGCCGCGCTCGCCGCACTCGACGCACTCGCCGCTGGCTGCGCGGTGGCACGGCGGGTGGCGGGCGCCGCGCCCCCGTGGGGGGGAGGGGAAGAGGCGGGAACGGGGTTAAAGGCAAGATACAGTGTGTTCAGATTCGGGGTTGGGGTTGGGACGATGACAAATTCTGGGCTGTACGTGTGGAGCCCGTACGCCAAAACGCGCTCGACAAAAGTTCGGAAGGAAAAAGCGGGTCTTGGCTTTGAGTTGTTTTCCCCCTGCGTACAGAACAGCAGCGTACGGTACAACAACGTACCTGCACCCTCCCAGACCGCAAGGGTTAACAAGCAGCCTGTCGGAGCGATGCTGAGCGTATCCACAGAAATATTCGCGTTGAATTAGCACTCAAAACCACCTTGACTAACAGGCCTTGACTAACAGTCTGGAATGCAAATAATAACTAAATGGGTGCAATGGTTACCACTGACTGCGAATTGTCGGAGTATGGATTGGAAACTTCGTGGCTACAAGTTTGACACGTCATCGCTGGTAGGACCCTCGAAATTGTCACTGTGGGTGGGACTCCATGGCTGGGAGCACGATTTCGCGAAAGACTGCGAAAAAATATACTGTAACACGCTGGATCTGAATCCTGCTTACTCTAGTATTACTGTATAGAGCGACATCTGATTGGAAAATTAGATACTGTAACGCGAACTCAGTACCGAATGTCCCTTGTCAGTAGTTAGGTCCCGCCATCACATTCCGTAGATAGGGGGCTCAATGCTGTATATCCGAGTCGCCATGCCCGCAGTTTCCGGCGCATCTTCGCTTGGATTCATCGTCGACTCTCTCACTCTCGCGCGGCGCAGATCCAACGCCTGCCTTCAGTCCGTGCGACGCGTCAGCCTAGAGTGTTGCCGTTCTCTCGGTCTATTCGAGAGTTCGCTTTTTGTTCTCCTCGAGTAACCCTACGCTACGCTACGCACTTCGCATTAGTCACGTCGTAAACATCACCGGTTCACAACCGTTCACAACGGCTCACCGAGTCAGTGTACAGTTGCCCTCCGTTTCGGGCCGCTTCTCTTGTCTCCACGAGATCCTTCGCCTCGTTACAGGTTTTGCTAATCAGAAAACAAGTACCCGTTATAAGCAGCACCGCTTGCCATTCAGCGCCATCGCTGTAAACATATTCCCAGTGTCCTCGAAACCGAATTTCTCTGCTCGTCGCGAAATCCTGCGAAACCATCTCGCGCGTTACATGGTGCATCAAGGGACGGTGCATCAGGGGCCATCCATGGAGACGAGGACGGTGCAACAGACGACGTACAGCCTGGCATCGCCTTTTGAGTCAGACTCAAAAGTCACATCATCCTGCGAAACCATCTCGCGCGTCACATGGTGCATCAGGGGCCATGAAGACGAGGACGGTGCAGCAGACGACGTACAGCCTGGCATCGCCGCATAGCTAGTACATGCGCATTACCATGTGAGCGAGAGGGCACAGCTACCTTCATCTCGCCTTCAGTGCCTTCTGTGCCTTCCTGAAACTTTCCTGTATCTGCGGTTATGCATCCGTTCCGCCTTGTCCGCTTGCTCCCCGTCATCTGTCAGTCATCCCGTGGCTTCTTTTCTTCCTTTCATGTTTGCCTCTCCGTCTGTGTCGCAGATCTGTGAATGTGAACCGCCAGCAGCAGCAGCAGCAGCAGCAGCAGCACCAGCACCAGCACCAGCACCACCAGCAGCAGCAGCAGCAGGAGAAAGGGGAGAAAAAAGGTCAGCAGAAATGCGAGCAGAGGGGAGTGCAGAGGGGCGAGCAGAGGGGCGAGCAGAGGGGCGAGCAGAGGGAGGTGTTGGTGCGGCTGCTAGGAGACTAGCTGGTGGCTCTGTTTGGGTCGGTGGGGGCAGGCAGCATCCAGGCGTCTCTGCTGGTTCTCTCCTGCGACCTCCGTGGGCCCCACTCCGTGGCTGTGCTGCGCTGTGATAAGAGGTGAGCCTAAAGGGGAGGCCTGAAAGGGACGTGTTAGAGCGATTGCTACGGGACTCCCTGCTCCCTTGCGACCCCACTCCGTGGCTGTGCTGCAATGTGACCAGCGGTGAGCGGGGAGGATGGGTCGGGGAGGAGCCGACATTACTGGAGGAGGGCAGTACTGGAACAGGTGTGCTGGTGGGTGGGCGGGCCTGTGCAGGTGCTGCTGCTCTCCTGCGACCTCTGTGGGCCCCACCCCGTCGCTGTGCTGCGCTGCGATAAGTGGTGAGCAGTGATGAATTTTGCCTAATGGAAGATTCAAGGGTCACTCCGTGGCTGTGCTGCGCTGCCTCAAGTGGTGAGCAGAGAGGGGAGGCTTGAGACAAGGGGATGTGGTATAGAAAGAGGAGTGCGGTACTGTTAAGAGAAAGCAACCCTAGTTTCTGCCTTCTCTTCTGTTCCTTGCCGCCATGCACCTGTGTCTGGTGCCATCCCGCATTTGCAGCAGCAGCAGCAGCAGCAGCAGCAGCAGCAGCAGCAGCAGAAACAACAACCATGTGACACCTGTAGAGGATCTGATCCTGCCTGGGTCTCTGCATTTTCTCTTGAGGCTTCTCCCTGTGCGTATGTCCAATGCCGTCCCGCCCCAGCAGGCACGAGCAGAAGGTGTGGGCAGCAGCATCGGCCATGAGGCATGCCACGCTGAGCCCCTCTCAGTGCAAGTGGTGACGCTCAGTGTGTGTGCTGCAGTCACTGTGTCTTATCCATGCGCATATCTCTCTAATGCCGCCCGTCCTGCCCCAGCAGGCACGCGCAGAAGGTGTGGGCAGTAGCAGCAGCCATGAGGCATGCCGCGCTGAACCCCAGTGCAAGTGGTGACACTCGCTTCCTCCCTGCTCGCCCTCTCCAACCGCACACTCCGCCTTCCCACACCGTGACTGCCCCTCGATAACCCATCTGTACCCAACGAAACCCAGCTGCACCCAACTAACCCAGCTACCGTAATCAACAAGATGGATCCATCCCTTGTATTTGGTCCACCACGAATAAGGAAAACGAGGTTAGACGGTAAAGGTGCTGCATATGTGAATGGAGTATACACGTGCCGGTGCAGTTAGCTGTATACATCAAAACTAGGGACATTTACCATATAAACCAAGAAAACAAAACTGCTGACAATACATGCTCATCTATGCATGTGTTTGACTGACTAGTCAATACCAGAGTAGGTATGGATAACCATGGCACTGGACGGATTGAGCTAAGCATCAGGCTTTCATTAGGGTTTACCAGAGTAGGTATGGATAACCATGGCCCTGGATACACACTCACAGCCGCCAGAGCTTCCATTATGGCATGTGATTTTAGTATTGGCTCGCAGACTCAGTGGCTCGCAAACTCAGGTGGCTCAGATAAATATGCATGCAAACATCACATCTCACCGATGTTCCACCTAAGAAACCACACAAAATCATATGAAGCTTCGAAAAGAACAAGATTGCTGACAACGCATGCCGAACTATGCACGTGCCGGTGCAGCTAGCCATGGCCCAGAGCCATCATCTCCTCACACTGCTAGGAATTTACTTAATCGCGACCACCATGGCCTTGGACGGGTTGATCCAAGAAGCAGGCGTCGGGTTGAAACCATACTTGTTTGTCTTCATAGCGCCAATCATATACAGCATGAAGGCCTTTGCGACCGGGGTAGAGGGCGTCTTCCTGATGAAGGCAAACTCCATGGACACCATGGGAGGGGTCTTGGCTCCGGCCTTCCACACGAAATCAACGCTCGCCCACGACGCGTCAGGCGCGGCGGGAGGAGTGGCGGGGATGGCAAGGGCGGGGTTCCAAGCAGGGGCCTTGACGGCCGCACCGTTGGCGTTCTTCAGAAACGTAAGGTAACGCGGGGCGCAGGAACCGGTGAACGCGTAACCAATAGCGCCCTTGGTCTTGGCAATCGCAGTGCACATTCCCGTAGTACCGTCCACCTTAGTGAGGCCGGCGTAAGTCATGGCATTGCCGTCCGTGCCGTCTCCATAGCTCGAGACGGCCTTGCTCCACATCGTCTTCACAATCGCCGTGGATCCGGACTTGTCGCTGCGCGCCACGCGGGTAATGGCACCCGCGACCTTGCCCTTTGCGCCGGCCACGGAGACCCAGGTGGTGATGTCTCCCTTGTAGATAGAATACGTCTGGGCCGCCGTCAGCATTACGCCGGGCGCGCCGTTGACGAAGAAGCTGAAGGTGGAGACGCAGAGAGGCACGGTGATCTTGGGGGGAGCGCTGCCCTCCTGCGCGGAGGTCATCGGGTCGTCGGAGATGGCGATCTGGTACGTGCCGCCGTTGAAGCCGGTGATTCCGGCGCCCGATCCCACCGGGTCGTACGGTACGACTTGCTGGGCGGGTTTCTTGCCTATGTTATACGCATCCACCAATGCCTTGCCAGCCTGCAAGGATGAATAGGGAAACGCAAACAAGAATTGGGTCAGTGAAAGATGTAACCCGGTGCCGCATTCGCCGGTATGCACTCACGAGATGACATTGACGCTGGCTGAGCGAGACGATGTGCAATGTGAGGGGGAAGGGGGTCGGTCTTATGAAGGCTTACCCCTGCGAAGGTTGATGCTCCGCCCATGAACCCAGCGAACGCATTGGACGAGAAAGAAGCGATCAGAAGAGCCACCGCGAGGGTGTGAAGGGAGTGAGCCATGGTGCCCTGAAAGGTGGAAAGGTTCAGGGTTTGATCGGATCGAAGCTCACTGTAAGCACGAATAGAGTGCAGGAACTGAGAGAGTGATGAAATTAGGAGCAGAGGGGTCGATTTATGTATGCTTGACATTTCCAATTGCGCGCTTCGGGGTCACGGACTGGGGCGTGGGGGGGGGAAAGCTGCCGAGTCCCATTCGGGTCGGGTGACACTCTACACTGGCGACAAAGGAATCTTTCAATGGTTACCGTATTGTCGCAACAGATGGGATTACCGATTGGATCCGACGCCAGTTACCTCACCCAAAAGTCGTCGCTTCTAGCACTCGGGTTCGTTAAACATCTTAGCACGAAGTTGAACGAGTTCTGTCGTCACATTTTTCGCTGTAACGGCAGAACCACATTGGATGTGCGCTTCGACATGGAAGGAATATTTCAGAGAAGGAATCTTGCCAAGTCGAAGGAATATGTTCTGGTGGAATCCTGTCAGCTATCCGATTGGTTCACGGCGGATGGCGGCACCAAACATTCGTGGATCTGAAACGCAAAATCGTGGGTGGAGGACGAAGGGGTTGTCACGCGAACCCAGCGGCAAGCGATATGAGATGCTGTTACGGCTACCACCCGCAAAATGTACAGAGACGAAGTCATGATTTCGCCTTACATGATCGACATTAGGTAGGACACAGAACCAGCTTGGTTGGTCTGTGCGTGTTGTCCACATGCTGGTTTCAAAAGATCTTGATCATTACTGGTAAACGCATTTGCACCAAACATTAGAAAAGAGGCGAACGAGACTTAGCTTTTCAGCTCCTTCAGATCCCATCCCAACATATTTATTTCCATTTCACTAGTCAAGTTAGAACCCAGCTACAGCCTCTAGGAAGGAATATTTACTAGTAGCCAGACAATCTGGAGACCGCATTGATAACCAAAACCGAATTAGCCTCCCATTGCCGCTCGGATCAACGGTCTAGTCATAACGGTTCTAAGAGGTCATGATGAGCGGCCTCATCATGTCGTTGTCCTCATGTCCCAATGAGTGGCAGTGCCACACATATCCCGGCCCCTTGGTGGCATCGAAGGGGAACGGCTTACCATCCTGCCCATGCAAGGGTGAGAGGCGGTTGGGACAAGCAAGGGCGAGAGGCGGTTGGGACAAGCAAGGATAAGTGGCGGTTTGGGCCAAGCAAGGATAAGTGGCGGTTTGGGCCAAGCAAGGATAAGTGGCGGCTTGGGCAAGACACAAGGGGTTGAGCACGAGCAAGCCGTCAGAGAATGGGAAGGCTGGCAACCATCCATCACCCTACCACCTTCCACCCCACCTCACTGCACCGCATTTCGCCGGACCCTTGAACAGCACGAAGATGCTGAACACGTATCAAAGAACGCTATCCTTCCACCCAAGGACCTTCCTCTTGACCGCATTGCACCGCATCTCACCTGCCCCTTGAACGGCACAAAGATGGTGAGAACACTATCCGGGAATGCAACGGTGTTGTCCTTCCACCCCCTCTCATGCTGCGGCACGGGCCGAGCTGGGCCAGTGAAGCAGCTGGGTTTGAAAGGGGAGGAGGGCTCGAAAGAACACGAGCTGTTGAGATACGCGGTGGAGTTGAACGGACGGCGGGAGATGGGGCGGTGCTGTATGAGGTGCAGGTGGATGGGGTGCGTTTCGAATGTCGGGTTGATGATGTGCCAAAGCTCCGAAGTGCCCTGCATTAACAGGGTGGACGAGAAAGGAAAGAAACTAAAGGGTTTGGGAGAAAGTATTAGAGGAAAATAGCGAAATAGGAGATACAAAAGTAGGAAAAGGGCGAGAATAGGAGGTCACAGAAAAACTTATACAAGCAGTCAATTGCTGAAAATAGAAGTTCAAGAGAATGAGGAGCTTATCAAGAATATTCCAAACCATGAAAATCACTCCTGAAAGCAAAGCAAACACTTTATGCTCACCACTTTGGGCGTCTCAGTGGCTGGTTCCTCGTATCCCTTGCCGTTGAACAGCATGTAGGTGGTCTTGTTCAGCTCCTTATCCACTAGAATGGTGATGGCCTGCCAGCGCTGCTTCACTGCCTGGGAGATGTTCACCAGGGGGATGTGCTGCAAGGGAGGGGAACAAGGAGTGGCAGACAGAGGGGTGTGGGTGTGGGGTAAGGGCATGTAGGTGGTTCTGTTGAGTGCCTTGTCGAGAGTAATGACTATGGCCTGCCAGCGCTGCTTCACTGCCTGGGAGATGTTCACTGGGGGGATGTGCTGAAAGGGAGGGGAGCAAGGAGTGGCAGGCAGAGGGGTGCAGTGTGGTGGATTTGGTGACAATAAGAAGAGCCTTGGCAACAGAAAGAGCTATTGAGCAAGCGCTGCTTCCCCGCCTGGGTGAGAAAGATGATGGTGCTGGGGAAGATGATGGTGGATAAGTAATGTTCCCCGGCTGGGAGAGAAAGATGATGGTGCTGCGAACCAGTCAACATTACTTATGCACTCGTTCACGCAACCCTGCACACACTCACCCACACACTCACCCACGCACTCACCCACGCACTCACCCACGCACCCACCCATGCACTCGCGCCCACACACTCTCCCACGCACTCCCCCCCAACACACTCCCCCCACACACTCTCCCACGCACTCACCCACACTGACGCACACTCACCGAGAGCCTCTTGGGCAGCACGGGTGCTCTGATGGGCGTTTTCTCGTTGATGTTGAAGCGCATCACCACGCCTGTGAACCAGTCCAGTCAGCGTTCGGCCCCACAGGGAAGGGCTGCGGGGCGGAGTTGACCAGGATGACGCCACGGCACCAGCTGGGTGCGGCGTTGAGGTCGACCAGGAGGTCGTGACGCACTCCCGGCGCCATGAGCACTGACAGGCGGTGCAGTGGGCGGGCGAGGTAGCCACCGTCGGAACCGATCTGGTAGATCATGGAAGCAGGGAAGCGTGAAATGGCATTGCACAATATGGTTGTTGTGATAGTGATACAGCACGATGCCAAAAACTTTGTTATGATTACCTCTCTGTACAGGACTAATTTGGGGACTGGACTACCCCACCGTCGCACCAGGTAGAGGACAGCACATGTCCGCCAAGAGGTGCGTAAATATCTCAGTACAATAACAGCTTGTTTTATGCTCTTCGCATGAGGTAAAGATCGGGACGGTCCACATACCAGGTAGAAGGGCAGCACGGGTCCGCCAAGACGGGGGTTGAAGTTGTTATCGCCACGAGCGGCGCACTGGAAGGACAGGTTGTACGTGCGTGCGTTGCCTGCATTCACCATGCGGATCCGGTGCATCGCTCGCCGAACCTTGAGGTACGGCCAAACCTGAGGGGTAGGGTGTGATAAGGAGGACCATCAACTCTTGATGAGTATGAGGGTTGGGTGTCATAATCCCAACGCGTACAACCACCCTTAGGGGGACATTCTAGATTCAATAAGAAAAATACAGCATTGCATCTTCTTTATTCTTAAGATGTATAGTTTATGAGATGAGAGCTCACCTTGCCGTTGACAACGATTGTATCCCCTCTAAGACCTGGCGTCCAGTTTGGGTGAACCTTGGGCACAGACCCCACGTTCGGATAATTCATCGATCCGTTCGGAAAAAACAGCCTGTCAGCAATCAGGAGGTGCAATTGACGCCCGCCACGTGGCAGCCATTTCTTCAGCCGCCTCTCCTCGCCCTGTGGGTCGCGAATAATGTACAGCCCAGCCATTCCGGAAGCAACGTTGGGCGCGGTCATGCCAACTGTGTGGTCGTGGTACCACAGCATGGTCGGGCGCTGCGTGTTCGGATAAGTGTGCTCCTGGGATTCGAACGTGGGTCCTTGTTCCCCACTGGCAGTGTACCACGCCTCAGGATGGCCGTCGGATTGGCTCAGCACCTCTGCGCCATGCAAATGAACGGCTGGGATGATAGTACAGGGGGGAGCATTGGAATCGAGCCGCTGGTTAGTTAGTAACAAGCAATTAGAAACTGGAAACTTGTAAGAACGCATTCGGACCTCGTAACAACTGTCTTCCGAAGAAGTTTGGTAGGGAATAACGCACAGTGACTGGCTAATAAGGGATGATCGTCCACCACAGTCATGAACCGTCGCAACGCGGTCGCTTGTTACGAAGTTGGTTTTTTGTAACAAGTCGAAATGCCTTCCAAACGGGAAACGGGAAACGAGTGATGCGCATTGTTGCTGACAGCTGAAACGGGAGCTATACATACAACAGAAACACGAACTCACAGATTGGCACGCCTCCGTTTTTAGGTTTGGGCGCCATAAGCGTCGGGTCGATGGTGAACATGTGCTCCTTGTCGTTGATGTTGTTCGCGAATTCCACCTGCGATCGTGTAGAAAATATTCATTAAGGCAACAGACAGTGTTTACCCACGACGTTCATGAACAAGAGGCGGAAATACATTGCTAGACTCAGGTGCACCAGACCAGCAGTGCAACCGTGAAGCTGCTTGCGCGACGAGCCCCCCATGCAGCAGCGCTGTACCCGTGCTTGTGTTTGAGCTCCAATCACCAGCAGTTCTCCGCGACAGCGCGCGCGCTCGTGCTCATGCTGCCGCTCGTGCTCGTACTCGAGATTACGTCGTCAAGTGAAGCAGCGCAAGCAACTGTGAAGCTATTGACGAATAAAGCCATCCAAAGTGCAAGCAACCGTAAAGCTACTGATAGATGACGACGCTCACCTGTGTGGTGGCGCTCTAAACCGCGCTCACCTTGGTGGTAACGCCGCGCTTCGCGACGAGCACGGGGCCCGGGTAACTCGCCGAGTTGCGAGAGGTGCCGTACGCATACACCTTGGTGTCGGGCAGGTCGCGATGGAACTTCTGCTCGTTGCGCCGGCCGGGGGAAGGGGGGGTGAAGGAGTGGGAAAGAGGAAATGGAGGAGGGAGAGCGAGTGATGGAGCGAGGTGGAAGAGAATGGGAGCGATGGGGAAAAGCACGCCGAGTGACGGTGAAAAATCATGTGACGGTGAAAAATCATTTGACGGTGAAAAGTATCACTGTGACGAAAACGCGAATGCGCCGCGCGAGCCAAGAGTCGCACCGCGCTCATATATAGATAGCTCCACCACGATCTGCTTATTGTACGGAACACCGCGTCAAGCGGCCGTTGCACTTGCCTGCAGCACGACGCACGACCTCCAATAGCTGTCTGCAGGCACCCACAAATTCGCCCTGTTCAGCAATCGCACTCGCCTGGCACACGTCGCACGCGCCACCTTCACTCAATGTGAAAACTTGGAAGCACCGCGTAGCATCATCATATGACGCGCCACCATCACCCAGCAATCACACGCGCCTGGTAAACGTTGTACGACGACCACCCCCACCCTTCCCCAATCCGCCCCCGTTCCCCCCCCCCTTCACCCCCCCCACGTCAGACTCACGTGGTAGACGTCGTACGACGTCACCCGCCCCCCTACCCTCCTTCTCCTTCTCCCTCCCCGTAAGGCTCACATGGTAAACGTCGTACGCGCCGAGTTTGATGGTCTCGCCGGCCGACGCGTCGAGGAAGGTGAGTGGCGACGCGGCGAGGTCGTCGACGAACTTGCACAGCGGCTTCTCCGGAAACCGGTTCACGCACCGCGGCCCCGCCATGGGCTGCGCGCGCGCCGTCATCAGCACGCTGAGAAGCGCCAAGGCGCAGAGGCGCGCGGGAATGGTGCTCTCTCCACGCCGAGCAGCGGCATTCGGACGTGATCCCGCGGGCCGCCCCATCAAGTCAACCTTGGCCGTCGGTGACGCGCGGTGTGCTCGTCACCCGTGTAGCAATGCGAGTCGAGCGAGTCGCGAGAGTAGCGTCGAGAGTAGTGTGAGCTGGCAAATGTGCAGACCAGCGTGTGGGTCGGCTCGGGGACTCAACTGGAACAATGCTTTGCAGCAGTGGCACTAACTGAGATGCTTTGTATTGAAAGCTGTCCAGTGCAGCATTGCACAATGCCAAGGCTGTCATTGTCAAAAATAGTTTGTTGACTGGCCAGGCGGAGAGGAGGGGAGGGGGCGAGGAGAGGCAAGGAGTGGCAGCGCAGCGCACCCGCACGAGCAGTACAGTACGCTCAGAGGGGTTTCCCTTCACCCCATCCCGATGAAGGGGCTGTGCCGGTGGGGCGGACGCAACACGGCCTGCAAACGAGCGAGGAATGCTTTTCTTGCTGCCCGAATGCCGACAGGGGCTGCGTGAAAAAGGCGAGTTTTGGGTCCCAGCAGAAGGCAAGGGCTTGGCTGGTAGTGGGGATGCAGGAAGGATGGGAGCGAGGACTGCTTTTGTTGTTGCTCGTGCCCACGGGTTGCGCGAAAATTCGGCCGGCCTCGCGACATCTAAACTTGCGACGGCAGCGCGTTTGGGTCCCCCACCCCAACCAGGTGGCGTTTCGGATCCAAGGCGCTCGCGGTTGATTAGCTGAGATGAAACGAAACCCTATCACAAAGGAGAGTGATGGGCAAACTGCGGCCTAGAGATTAGGTCGTCGACTCTTCGCTGCTGAAAAACGCGTTTGCGTTTAGTGTTCTGTTTCAGGCTCCTGCTCACTGCAATGCAAATCTGACAATGGGCGTAACGCTCAACGATATGAGCCTATATCACATGTTTTTAAATACTGTCTCTGATGAGAGACACTACCCTTAGCAGGAGTGCCCCTCTTTTGGGGCTCATTATATTCCATACTCTTTGTAAAGGGCTTTTCATTGGGTCAATTTTGCTTTTGCATTACAAGAAAAGAGCCCCAATACGCGACCATAACAACCTTATTATGCGAAGCTGCTTCCAAACGAGTCATTTGTCTGCCAACGCACCTAGCTGTGATTCCACGTAGGCTGGGGTACCACACGCTATGTGGCATGGCTAGTAGGATGCCATATCCGCCTCATAGAAACAGTTCCGAACAATGCGGCCTTGAATGTTCACCAATCAGCTGATAGTTTATGTTTTACATAGGTCGCACCACCTCTAATTAGACTCTTCCGTCACATCACATTACCTTACTGCTTTGACAGCCGTCCATGTGCTTATTTAGTTTTCCGTTATATCTGCGACTCCAGTTCGCGTTGTCGCCGAATCGCTTATCCAACAGCAATCAGGAAAGAGCCTCTTCCGCGGTTCCAAGAACGGACGCCTTTCTTCCCTGACAGTTCAGAGTCTTCTCCCACTCCACAGGATCATTCGCGCATTGTGAGCATTGTGTGTAGTGAGAATTGTGTGTAGTGAGCATTGTTCGTACGTCCCCGTTACAAGATGGACGGTTCCCGTTACAATAACCTGTTGGTAAGCCAACAAGGAGCAGTGGTAACCGTAACCATCAACCGTCTCCGAAACCTCAACGCCATCAACAACGCAACATACCTCGAGCTCGCACGCGCTCTAGCCGACGCAGACGCCAATGACACAGTATCGATTCTGCTTATAACGGGTGCTGGCGAGTACTTCTGCAGCGGGACAGACATGCTCGAGTTCATGCAGACCGTCGAGAGACTCGAGGCCCTGAAACGATCCCAGGAATCAACAGCAGCCGTTGGATCATCAGGACAACCGGAAGGAAGCTCAGTTCCAACCGTTAGATCCACACCACAAGCCAGCTCCACCGTCGATCTCCCCGCGGATTTCGACCCGTTCGCCAGCCCTGTGGGCCAGTTCATGCGCGGCGTGCTGCGATTCTCCAAGATCCTGGTCGCAGCAGTCAACGGGCCCGCCATCGGGATCGGCGTGACGCTCCTTCCGCACTGCGACCTCGTATTCGCCGCGGATTCCGCCACGTTCTGGGTGCCTTTTCTCCGCATCGCGCTCGTTCCCGAGTTTGGCTCGTCCGTCACTCTCCCGCAGCTGCTTGGTCGACCCCTGGCGAACGATCTCCTGCTGACGTCGCGGGTGCTCACTGCGGACGAGGCGTGCAGAAACGGTCTTGTTTCGAGAGTGTTCCCAGATGCGACCCTTCAGAGTGGTAAGTTATTATAAGGGATGGCACACGCTTCAGCTAATGACAGCGTGTATCAAGGAATGCTCTCTTTTTGAACCAATCGTGGAAATCCAAAAACTGCAGGGATTGTTTCTGAAGTCTGCTTAATTCTAATAACGTCTCTCTCCTCCCTCCCCCTCCTCTCTACCGCACTCCCCCCTTTTGCATTTCTTGTCTCACTGTCCCTCCGTTCTGTTGCCTGTGCCCGTGCTCTCCTTACACGCCTCCTGACATCCTATCCTAGCAACAGGCTTCTTCCAAGCGTCCCTCCCAATCTTGAAGCGCATGCTGCGCCAGCCACCGACATTGACTCAACTCAGCGAAATGCCTCCTTTTTGTTGTCTGTGCCCGTGTTTGTCTTTCTTACATGCCCCCCTGCAGACGTGCTGGCGATTCTCTCCGACATCCAGCAGCAGGCTCTCGTCCAACAGTCCCTCCCCATCTTCAAGCGCATGCTGCGCCAGCCACTGGGTGACTCAGCGCCACGACAGCCTGACATGGAGGCGGTAGTGGCGGAGGAGCTGCGGCAGCTGGCTCGGAGACAGATGGCAGGGGAGACAGGTTATGCTGTGAGGGAGACCATGAAGGCCATGCGAGCTGCCAAGGGGAATAGCGAAGCAAAGAACGGTGGGAGAGGCGGGTCTCGAAGCAAACTGTAGGCGATGGTGAAAGTGACAGGGTGTGCGGTGTGGGGGCAGAGGCAGATGGCAGGGGAGATGGGGTATGGTGTGAGGGAGACCATGAAGGCCATGCGAGCTGCCAAGGGGAATGGCAAGGCAGCTGGGTCTCGAAGCAAGCTGTAGGCAGCTGGCTCGCAGGCAGATGGCGGGAGAGTCAGGGTATGCTGTGAGGGTGACGATGAAGGCCGTGCGAGCTGCCAAGGGGAATAGCAAGGCCGGAAGAGGTGGGAAAACTGGGTCTCGAAGCAAGCTGTAGGGTGTGGGGTGGGGACACAGGCAGATGGCTGGAGAGACAGGGTATGCGGTGAGAATGACGATGAAAGCCATGTGTTCTACCAAGGTGAATAGCGAAGCAAGGAAGGGTGGGAGAGCTGGGTCTCGAAGCAAACTGTTGGCGATGGTGGGAGTGACAGGGTATACGGTGTGGGGACAGAGGCAGATGGTGGGGGAGACGGGGTATGGTGTGAGGGAGACTATGAAGGCAATGCCAGCTGCCAAGTAGAATGGCAAGGTGGCTGAGTCTCAAAGCAAGCTGTAGGCTGGTGGCTTGCAGGCAGATGGCGGGAGAGACAGGGTATGCTGTGAGGGCGACCATGAAAGCCGTGTGAGCTGCCAAGGAGGGAAGCAGATCAGGGAGTGATGGGGCAGGTGGTTTTTGAAGCAATCTGTAGGCACGTGGCTCGAAGGCAGATGGTGGGTGAGACTGGGTATGCTGTGGGGGTGATTATGAAAGCCATGCGTGCTGCCAAGGAGGGAAGCAAAGTCTGAAATGGTGGGGGAGCAAGCCGTCGAAGCCGACTGTGCGGGTGTGAGACAGGGTACGTTGTCAGGATGATTGTGAACAGGGCCCAAAATATCAGGGTAAAACACCCTGATTACCCTGGGGGCCGGCCGCTTTTTCAGGATTACCCTGCCTAAATCAGGATTGCGCAAAAGTTACCCTTCTCTTAAAAGAGCATGTTTTATTTTACCCTGCTAGGTTTTGAGCTTACCCTGGCGGAATCAGGGTTTGGTGTACACTACCCTGTTACCGAATCTTTTCTAACGCGAATCAGACAATAGTTCGCGTGGTGACAAACACGTACAACACCCCCACAAACACCCGTTGTCGCTCGTGCCCACGCGCATGGAAACTTGCTTCGTACTTGGCAGCACGCCAACGATTATTGAACCACGTCACTTATCGCCACGCCCACCGCCATCACAGCAGAATTGGTTGTCAAGGACAGCTTCAAGCTGTCCTTAACAACAACTTGCAGCCTCAGTGCTGGCTTGCCTTGCTGGCCATAACACGGCCCGCCCGGTGGAAGAAACGGCCCTGTCGAGGCTGCCAAAATAGATACAAATTTGATACAAAAACAGGCTTAGCCTAAAACTACCCTGCTCAAATCAGGCTAGTGGTAGATTTACCCTGCTGAAAACAGGGTATGAAAAAATTTACCCTAGGGGTCTGGCTAAGGAGGGGCTGGTACCCTGATTCGTAAGGGTAGGCCTAAACCAATTTTGGGCCCTGATTGTGAAGTCCATGTGAGCTGCCAGTGGTTGAAGCAGAGCTGGGAAGGTTGAAATTCTTGCAAAGAAAGCCATATAAGATACCGTATACAGTGCTGGAGTGTAATGCAGAGGGCTGTGTTGGGGATGTGTGGAGGATTTGCCATAACATTGACTGTGAAGGCAGCAGAAGCTGCCTAAGGGGAACGCAATGCTGGGAACGTTGCAAGGGTGGCCCCTTAAACTAGCATGTGGGGGTGAAGCTGGTACCGTAATAGGATTGATTGTGTATCAGGGCTAATTTTATCAGTGTAAATCACCCTGATACCCTGATTATCAGGGTGGTTTTTGGTAGTAACACTGATGGCTTAGCGTATTGTTTTTGGGAGCTTGGATTTCCCTGATGTGACAGGGTTTACATTTAAGGCACACTGATGCCTCAGGGTTGCCGTTCGTCATAACGAGTTTTACCCTGAAGCGAGTACCACACCCCCCCCCCCCCCCCCCCCAACTTTCCCCACCCCCCCTTTCCCATAATCTCGGAATCCCGAGTCCCAACAGTCAAAGCCGGAATTTCAGCCTCGACAATACATATGCTGGCACAAAGTGGGCCACGATTGGCCAGAAATACAGCCGCAGTGTAGACAACGCCGCCGACTCAACTCGGTCTGTTTGTTTGACATGACGACATGACCGGGTTAGTAGGAAACCTGGCTCAGTGCAGCGGAAAGTCGGTGCCCACTAGCCCACTGGGCACCGCGTTGTTAAAAAACGAAGAATGAAGAAGAGAGGGAGGTTTCACTAGCAGCAGTTGGGATACATATAGCAAACCCTAACAGGGTTGTACTCGCTATAGAGCACCCCACTACAGGCTAGATAATTATAACATTCTGACACACCCCCATAGCCGAAGTGGGGTGTAATCAGCACAATCAGCAAGCAGGTATAGAGCAGGACTTCACAAGGACAACCAAAGCTAGAGGCATTCACAAAGGGCACGTGAGGAGGAGGAGGCGAGACTGTAAGAGGAGAGGAGATAGGAGACGACGGCTGAAGCTGCAGACACACGGGCAACAGGAGTCACACTGGCACAGCGGCTACCGGAACAGCGCCCCGGACTACTGGAGTATCTGGCTCCGCGGCTATAGACGAGCGGCAGGAGCAACAGACCCACGGGCGACTGGCGCAGCTGGCTACGACTGGGCTACCGGAGCAGTGCCCCGGACTACTGGTGCTGTTGACGACACGACGATAGCCTCCGTTCAACCTCCCCCAACTGTCCCACCCCCCCTTTCACACACTCCTTGCTGCACCCCTAGCTTCACTCCCACGTCACCCCCCTTTTCACACACCCCCTACTGCACCCTAGGTTCACTCACCCCCCACCCCCTATTACCACTCCGTCGACTCCCACACACCCACCCCCCTCAGCGGCAGCTGCAGCAGTGGGAGACAGAGGAGGAGGAGGAGCAGGGGAGACCACACGCCCGCCACCCCCTACTCGCCACCCCCAAACCCTAACACAGGGCAGGGCGGGACGGTGGGTAGGGAGGTTACGGGGGGGGGGGGGGGCGACGCGCGGCCTCCCAGGGCGCCAAAGCAGGCGGTAGAAGGGGCGACGCTCGCCCCCGTCCCCCAGGTCGGCCCCCGAGGGAGCCGCGACGGGCGACGGGAAAAGGGGGGGGGGGGGGGGGGGGGCGGTGCACGTGCCCCCGGTGCGCCGCGCCAGGCGACAGAGCATGGCCGGGGCGGGGCCGGGGCAGGGTCGAGGAAGGGCCGAAAGGGGCGGCGACAGGGCCGCAAGTGGTGGCGACGGGGCCGCTGGAGGCGGCGACGGGGCCGATTGGGGCGGCGACGGGGCCGCTAGGGTCGGCGACGGGGCCGCTGGCGGCGGCGATGGGGCCGATAGAGGCGGCGACGGGGCCGCTAGGGTCGGCGACGGGGCCGCTGGCGGCGGCGACGGGGCCGATAGGGGCGGCGACGGGGCCGCGAAGGGGCCGCGAAGGGGCCTGAGAGGTCGGCGACGGGGCCGTTGACGGCGGCGACGGGGCCGATAGGGGCGGCGACGGGGCCGCGAAGGGGCCGCGAGGGGACCGGAAGGGCGGCAACGGGCCGCGAAGGGGCCGCGAGGGGCCTAAAAGGGGCGGCAACAGGGCCGCGAAGGGGCCGCGAGGGGCCGAGAAGGGCGGCGACGGGGCCGCGAGGGGTGGCGACAGGGCCACTAAGGGTCGCGCGAGGGGCACGCCACGGGGCGTGCAGAGCACAGAGTAGCAGCGGAAGCAGTTAGGTGGGCCCACAGGCCAGGACCGTAGATGTTCTGATAGCATGTGGAGAATGAGGAATGAAAGAAGAGAGAGGGTTTCACTAGCAGCAGTTGGGATACATATAGCAAACCCTGACATGGTTGTACTCGCTATAGAGCATCCCACTACAGGCTAGATAATTATAACATTCTGACACGCGTTCCTTGCTGGACTGTGGGTGGCTGTGAACCTCGTTTGCCAGCACGATAGGAAACCCATGCGCTAGGGACTGGGGTCTCCCTCAGGGTTGTGGTCTCACATTTGGTAACGAGAGATCACTCCTTTCCAACCGAGGTAGCCGTTTCTCTTTATACACACCAGCAACTATGGCGCAGAGTGAAGACGACGATGTAGGAGAAGCTGCTGACGAGCCACCTAACGACGCTGCCGCGCGAACAGGCTTAGACTTCCTGCGAGGGCTGCATGTGAACCCTCCGCCCGTCTGCACTGTCGGCACGTCATCGCACAATGAATGAACTGAGTACAAGTACTAACCCTAATTGGGTTGTACCCCTTATGGGCTACCCCACTATAGCCTACACAATAAGCACAAGCTATATGTTCTGACACACCCCCATAGGCGAAGTGGGGGAGAGTAAGGGGTCAAAAGACTAGTCAAGCAAAGCAAAGCAAACCAAGCTCAGGGTGGATCACAAAGTCACCACACATTCTGAGCACAAGGTCAAGGCCACAAGGCCATTTCACACGCGGAGTACATATATACAAAGGACTAAACAAGCAGGAGCAGGTGTATATATATGCAGCAGTACAAGCAAGGTCAAGAGGTGAGCAAGTGAGGCAAGACAGACACAAGACCCAGCTGCGTGCAGAAGCGCTGATGATCACAAGGCGCAAGTGCCTTGGTGAAGACATCAGCAGTGTTGGCCTCAGAGGCCACGTACGCAAGCCGCAACTGGCCACGCTGCTGTAGCTCACGAGCAAGGAAGTAGCGAAGAGCAATGTGCTTTGTTCTGTGCTCCAGTCTCTGCTCTCGACACAAGGCCAGCATGGCCTTGTTGTCAACGTACAGGACTGGAGGAGAACGAGGCGGCTCTCCAAGGTCAGTTAGCAGGTAGGTGAGCCAGCGAAGCTCCTGTGCAGCCATGGCCCCGGCGTAGATCTCGGCCTCACAACTGGAGCCGAGAACAGAAGACGAGCGAGTAGCCCGCCACGAAACAGAGCCGGAACCAAGGCTGAAGGTGTAACCCTGTGACAACCGCTGCGTAGCCTGGTCGTCAGCCCAAGAAGCGTCCGCGTGCCCAGTGAGGACCACTGGACTCTGCCCTCCAAGCACTAGCCCCATGCCCAACGTACTGCACAAGTAGCGCA